GCCCGCCTGTAATCCCAGCTACTCGGGAGGCTGAGGCAGGAAAGTCGCTTCAACCTGGGAAACAGAGGTTGTGGTGAGCCAAGATCATGCCATTGTACTCAGCCTGGGCAACAAGTGCGAAACTCTGTCTCAGAAAAAAGAAAGAAAAGAAAAAAAGGAAAGAGAAAGAAAGAAAAGAGAAAGGAAGACAGAAAGAAAGAAAGAAAGAAAAGAAAAAAACCAACCCTGCTGTCACTTTGATTGTCACTGTAATCTCCCAAGAAACAAACTCTTAGAACTGTCCTAGGAATAGCTATGAAAACAATGGTAAAAGTAAAAGAAAAAAAAAAAATCGTCACGAGTTACCTGTCTCCTGCTGCGATCTGGTGACCAAGGTGAAATACCATTGTATGGTGTACTGAGCAAGCCACAGGGTGTCCAGCCCATGCACAGTCGTTCCCTCTCAGCCAGGTGAACTCCACATCATTTCATCATAGTCCGCTGGTAAAGAAAATGGAGTCCTGCTCAGCGCAAGGACATTGCGGATTGAACTAGTCTAGAAAACGCTATATGTAAACAGCATGACTTATATCTTCATGGGATAAGACTAAGGACAATCCCTGCAAAACTTGGCATGATCACTCAAGTGCAATTGCAATGTCTGTTCCAAATGAAGCGACCTGCTAGCCTTATTTGCCGTCATTTGAGAACTGGTCCTATGCAAGATATTGTGTAGATCAGGTGAATGGTAAGTCTTTAGAAGTGGCCTCCCTCATTATTTAAATGTTATTAATTGAACACATATCCATGAACACACAAAGCTTATGTTAGATACTGCTGTTCGAGACTGTCTAATAGCTCTGATGGTATTTTCAGGGAACAGAAGGTAGAACTGATCTGTTCATATTTCCACATTGGCATAAATGCAAAAACTAAAACCAAAAACCTGCAGTCAGCTGCTTTATTAACATCTGTACCATGTGTGTTAGATAAATCTCAAAACAGTTGAACTAATATAGTTGATAATAGTAATGACATTTACCCTTTGAACACTTATATTAAGTACTTTATACATTATGTCACTCACGTTCTTGCAAACTTGTAAGACAGCCATTTCTGAATTTCTTCAGTTCTAAGATGGACATGTCTTTACATCTTCTGAAGTTGAGATGGACTTTACAGTTCATTTACACATATAGTGTGTGTATCTATCTATTTATTTATATATAGTAGAGCTTATGTTTTTCCTTTTTTTTTTGTTTCCAGAGCAATTAATTTGGAAAAATCTATTCAATATGCCTTCAACAGTTCTCCTGTGTGTATTGTGCTGATAAATAGACACTGAGAGGATTTAACAAGTTCATCATTTAATAAGTCTGAATTCATTTTCACCACATGGTATTGTACACGGTCATTTGTTGAAACAGATTTCTTTTTTAACAGATCTTGGTTTAAAAAAGTCATAGATACTGTGAGTTCTGTATAAACTGTTAGATCCCTTGTTTTAACTTATAAGTCTCCACTTCACCGCAGAATAAAGAATGTAGGCCAAAGAAAGCATAATCGGTCTCTCGTATAGAACAGTATTGTTTCTATAATTTGAAGCTTTCTGAATGGACGGGTTCAGGCCTGATGTAACTGTAAAAAGATTACTTAATGAATAGACTATATGGAAATTGTACAAAATGTTATTACCTTTAATCATGAGTAGCTTAAACAGCACTATATCGCTAATTGCTATTCAAAATCAAAAACGAATTTTCGAATCCCCAAGAAGGTAGCATGTGTACACAACCATACCACCTTGTACTTAGGGGTGTGTCAATACATAATTCAACAGAAACTTTGGCTTTAGGAAAGAGTCACAAATATTTAAAAGAATGGCTTTAATTGTCATTTTAAGTATACGGTAGGGGAATAGAGTGCTTTAATTAAATATACATCATACCAGTGATGCTGGCAAGGTTGAAAGTTACTCCTAATGTTGATAGCTATAAAAACTAGTTTGGGCCAGGCGCGGTGGCTCACGCCTGTAATCCCAGCACTTTGGGAGGCTGAGGCAGGTGGATCACGAGGTCGAGAAATCCAGACCATCCTGGCCCAACATGGTGAAACCCTGTCTCCACTAAAAAAAATACAAAAAATTAGCTGGGCGTGGTGGCACGCACCTGTAGTCTCAGCTACTCGGGAGGCTGAGGCAGAATTGCTTGAACCCGGGAGGCGGAGGTTGCAGTGAGTCGAGGTCGCACCACTGCACTCCAGCCTGGCGCCTGGTGACAGAATGAGACTCTCTCTCAAAAAAAAAAAAATTAGTTTGTACATAACAAGACAATGAGAGGAAAAAGCAGTCCCTTTGAAACAAAATTCTCAAATAAAAAATGTTCACAGTGGTTCGTATCAACAGTATGCATTTTATGACAAGAACATGTACAGATTCAGAGCACCCTAGGGCTCTCTTTATGTCCTAAAGAAAATGAGCGCTTACATGTTTATGGGTTGTACTGAATTAAAAAAAGATCAATTGTACACTTACCCCTTAGAAAGGATAAACTGTCCTGGGGTGTACAGCTTTAACACCATCATTAAAATTGTTTGCAAAAGGAATAGAGAATTAAAAAACAAAACACTTTTTAGAGTGAAGCCTTTCATTTGCTGTTATAACCAGCAAATGCCATTCACTAAATCAAAAACGGAAGGAACAGATCCAAGATGGCTGATCACTAACAGCTCGGGATTGTAGCTCCCAGTGAAAGCTCAGAGAACCAGACGACGCCACATCTTTAGACAAATTTTCATCACTCACGGATCAGCTGATATCCAGTGGAGGAGCCCCACGGGTCGCCAGTGCGACTCTTGTGGCTGCCACAGTGGTTTTGCCGGCGCCTCGGCGCAGCAGCTCTTCATGCAGAGCAAACAGGACTGCTACACCTACTGACCGGAGTTTGGAGCTCCAGGAAGTCAGAGCCGCTTGTTGCGGACTCAAGAGGGAAGCCAGACCAGAGATTCCCGGGCAGAAGAGCACCATCAGTTTTATCGCTGCTATTTAGGCCGCCACAGTGGGTTGCTCGGATCCCAGCACTGGGAATCAATAAATCGGACGTCGACTCAGAAACCTAATTAGAAAGGTGGTTCATCTACAATGAAGGGAAAAAAACAGCCTAAGAAGGCCGAGTATACCCAAAATTAGAACCCATCAGCAACGGAACAAGCCCTGATGGAAAAGGACTCATCAGCAACGGAACAAGCCCTGATGGAAAAGGACTCATCAGCAGCAGAACAAGTCCTGATGGAAAAGGACTCATCAGTAACGGAACAAGTCCTGATGGAAAAAGATTGTGTTCCATTATCTGAAGTAGGCTTTAAAAGGTGGATGATGAGAAACTTCTGGGAGTTAAAGGAACTTGTTCTAACCCAATGTAAAGAAACTAAGAACTCTGAAAAAAGGTTCGATGAAATGATGAAAAGAATAGACAATATAGAGAGGAATACAAATGAACTTATGGAGTTGAAAAATACAACACAAGAACTTAGCGAAATATGTACAAGCTTAAATAGCTGAATGGATCAAGCAGAAGAAAGGATATCAGAGGTCGAAGACCAATTTAATGAAATAAAACGACAAGACAAGAATAGAGAAAAAAGGATAAAAAGGAATTAGCAAAGTCCTCAAGAAATATGGGACTATGTGAAAAGACCTAATATACGTTTGATTGGTGTACCTGAATGTGATGGAGAGAATGAATTCAAGCTGGAAAATATTCTTCAGGATATTATCCAGGAAAATTTTCCTAATTTAGCAAAGCAGGACACTATTCAACCCCAGGCAATACAGAGAACACCACAAAGATATTCCTCAAGAAGACCAACCCCAAGGCACATAATCGTTAGATTCACCAGGATTGAAACGAAGGAGAAAATATTAAGGGCAGCCAGAGGGAAAGATCAGGTTACCCATAAAGGGAAGCCTATTAGGCTTACAGCAGATCTCTGAGCGGAAACCCTACAAGCTAGAAAAGAGTGGGGGCCAATATTCAATATACTTAAAGAACAGAACTTTCAGCCCAGAATTTCATATCCTGCCAATTTAAGCTTTACAATTGAAGGAAAAATAAAATCTTTTAGGAACAAGCAAGTACTCAGAGATTTTATTACCACCAGGCCTGCTTTACAAGAACTTCTAAAAGAAGCATTATACATAGAAAGGAACAACCAGTATGAGCCTTTCTAAAAATACACCAAAAAGTAAAGAGCATTAACATAAAGAAGAATTTACATCAATGAAAGGATAAAATAGCCAGTTAATATCAAATGGCAGTAACCCCAAATTTCAATCGATTAAATCCCCCAATCAAAAGATACAGACAAAATCTAACGGTATATCTAAAGATATACAAAGACTCAAAATAAAGGGTTGGAAAAAAACTTACCAATTAAATGGAGAGCAAAAATAAATAAATAAAAAGTAGGAGTTGCAATTCTCACAATTAATAAAATAGATTTCAAAGCTACAAGGATACAAGGGTAAAAGGATTAATGTAATAATAAGAGATCTTAACACCCAGATACATAAGACCCATAATGAGATTTAGATTCCATGAGACAGAAAATTGATAACGATATCCAGGACTTGAACTCAGATCCAGAACAAATAAACTCAATAGAGCTCTCCATTTTAAACACACAAAATATACATTATCCACTTTAAACACACAAAATATTGATCGGCCATTATTGATACCCATTTTAGGAATGAAGTAATATTTCTTTTTCTCTCTTTTTCTCTTTTTCCCTCTTTTTTTCCTTTTTCCCTCTTTTTCTTTCTTTCTCTTTCTTCTTAAAGAAAAAAAGAAATGGTGCTCACTAACTGTTCCTGCTTTAGGATGGTGTGCTGGGATTGGGGGCCTTCAGTCGGCAAGACTTGGCCCCTACCTTCTCTGATGCCTGGTCTTCCAGAAGACAGACCTATAAAGACACCATTATCAATGGCAGGACAAGTACCATCACAAAAAGAAAAAAAAAAAAAAACGGAAGGAAGGGCCCCCACAAATGCAGATCTATTGAGCAAGCTGATCAGTATACATCACAGTCCTAAAAATGATGGTTATATACTCTATGTTACAAGTCCCAACTAGGCAGTGTCAAAATGACATCTATTTCTTTGCTTGTTTTGTGATCATACCCCTTGGAGGTGTTACAGGTCTCGTGACATTTGGCTTCTTTTTCTCTGCAGGATTTAAAATCTGAAAAGAACACATTAGTGTTTCGTCCACACTCATCATGACACCTGCCTTGTCAAACTCTCCACAATAATTGGATGCAGAAAACAGAGTGACCAACTGCCTCTTTGCAAAAAATTCATATCCCTCTTCAACCACCTGATGGGCTCTACATATAAGATCCACATCATGCTTATGGAGAAATTTTGCAACCACTTCTGCAGCAAATGTGAAGGACGCTCCTCTGTCATTTTCACCCCAGCCTAAGAAATCTTTATCAGGGTCAGACCACAAAAGATCACAAGGACCTTGATCTGGTACATCAGTTGGTCGCATAATTCGCCAAATCTCCATAGATTGAAGATCTGGTGATAAACCTCCATGACAGCAGAATATCTTCTCATCCATGATGGCGGCTATCAGTAAACAGTTAAAACAGTCTGTGAAAGTTTTCCATAGTTCAATGTTGTATCTTCTTTTACATTCATCATAAAATCCATAAATTCTGTTGATGCTGGCACATTTATGGTTCCCTTTGGGAAGAAAAAAATTCTCAGAATATTTGATTTTGTAGGCCAGTAAGAGGCAGATTGTCTCCAATGACTGCTTTCCCCTGTCCACATAGTCCCCAAGAAACAGGTAGTTGCTTTCTGGCGGGAAACCACCATACTCAAAAAGTCACAGCAAATCATAGTATTGCCCATGGATGTCACCACATATTTTGAGTGGTGCTTCAAGTTCTAGTAGGATAGGCTGGCTGAGAAAGATCTCACGAGACTTTAAGCACAGTCCTCTGATTTCATTCTCCTGAAGCTGGACATTCTTACCAGGCTTGGACCCTCTCACTGTGAAAAAAATGTGTTGTTTTCATTTCATTAAGAAAATGTTAACTCGTTGTACTTATTTTGCCATGCAATTTCTGGGCTTCCATTTGTGTTTATACTTATGTCTGTATAGGGCAAAGGATGTCAGTCATATGCTATCCTTCCAGCAGCCTTTGGATGATGCTGTCAATGTTGAGTTTATCTAAATCCACCATCGCCCTCCCACCGCCAGCCTCTGGCTCGCGCCCAGGACTCACACCTCCTTTCCCACGCCACGAGCAGAGGCGGTGGTGGCGCCAGTGGCAGCAGCCGCGGCAGGTCCCCCCACAACCGCCCCGCTCCCTGCTTCCCCCTTCTCTCCCCACTGGAACCACTAAAACGAAATAACCGCCGACTCCTTAGACAGCCGTGGGTGGAGCACAGACGCGCACGGGTGTGTTTTTCCTAATATGCTACTATCCAATAAATTCTGTTCCATAGGAAAAAAAAAATGACAACCCATTTTCTTAAAATGGGTGAAAGATTTGAACCGACACTTTTGTTTTTTTTTGAGATAGAGTCTTGTTCTATCCCCCAGGCTAGAGTGTATTGGTGCAATCTCAGCTCACTGCAACCTCCACCTCTCAGTGAACAGACGCTTTTACCAAAGAAGATATATGAATGATGAATCAGCACATGGAAAATGCTCAAAATCATTAGTCATCAGAGAAATGCAAATTAAAACCACAATAAAACACCACTATCCTCCATTAGAATAGCTAAAATTCAATACCATTTCTCACTAAAAAGCACCAGGCCGGGCGCGGTAGCTCACTCCTGTAATCCCAGCACTTTGGGAGGCCGAGGCGGGTGGATCACGAGGTCAAGAGATCAACACCATCCTGGTCAACATGGTGAAACCCTGTCTCTACTAAAAATACAAAAAATTATCTGGGCATGGTGGTGCACGCCTGTAATCCCAGCTACTCAGGAGGCTGAGGCAGGAGAATTGCCTGAACCCAGGAGACTGAGGTTGGGGTGAGCCGAGATGCGCCATTGCACTCCAGCCTGGGTAACAAGAGTGAAACTCCGTTTCAAAAAAAAAGAAAAAAAGAAAAAGCACCACACCTAATCCAGGTCCAGGGCAGAAAATGTACAAAAAAAAAAAGGAAGAAAAATAAGCTTAAAACAGCTTATTGTACCAGAAAGCAAAAGCACTATCAAAGGCTAATGATGGGACACATCAAATAACAAAAAATTCCATAGGCCAGCTCGAAGAGGCTCCCTTTGGCCAAAGATAAGGTGATTTGAACAACAAGAAGAAGTATGATTTCAATTCATTAAAATAAATAAAAGTATTACTCTGGAGGCTCAGGTGAGAATACTGCTTAAGCCCAGGAGATAGAGGCTAGTGAGCTGTGTTAATGCCACTGTACTCCAACCTGTGTGACAGAGTGAGACTCTGTCTCAAGTAAATAAATAAACATATAAATATATAAAAAGTTACAATTTTTTAAAGAAGGAGAAACAACAAACACACCATAGTGAATGAATCCAAGAAAAGGTTGCTGTGCACCAACTCATTGTTCCAAAAACTGATAACTAAGGGGAGGGACCGAGATTTTATATCACCTCTCCAGTACAAACAGCATTTCCTGGAAATCAAATAACCCTACTAGATAAGAGTTCTATATGGAATAATTACAGATAATAAAGTCAGTATTAGAAATTCATCATTTTGTAACGCCTAATAAAATGACTCAAATACTGGTTATCCATAGATAATAAAACCACTAGGTAAAAGGCTGATGCCACCACTTGAGCCTGCTGATGCCACCACTTGAGCCTGCTGATGCATCTTAGCAGCCACTATAGTGAAACAACCAGCTACTACACGCTTTTGAATATAAGGCAATATTAAGTACACAGCACTACCTACGAAGTAGTCATAAACAAAGCAAAACCTTAAACCTGAATCTATTCAAGCCTGTACGCTACAAGAAAAAAAATAGAGGATAGAGGAAAAAGTTAGGTAACACTAGGAGGAAGTATTTAGTCAAAACCAGAATTTAGGACATCATGCAGGACAAATAACCTGGCTTTGTAATCAAGTCAATGGCATTAAAAAAAGAAAATTGTAGGCCGGGCGCGGTGGCTCACGCCTATAATCCCAGCATTTTGGGAGGCCGAGGTGGATCATGAGGTCAAGAGATCGAGACCATCCTGGTCAACATGGTGAAACCCCGTCTCTACTAAAAATACAAAAATTAGCTGGGCATGGTGGCGCATGCCTGTAGTCCCAGCTACTCAGGAGGCTGAAGCAGGAGAATTGCCTGAACCCAGGAGGTGGAGGTTGCGGTGAGCTGAGATTGCGCCATTGTACTCCAGCCTGGGTAACAAAAGTGAAACTCCGTTTCAATTAAAAAAAAAAAAATTGTAGGCTCAATGGATTAAGAGTCTGTAGAAACTCAATGTAATCTAACCTTACTGAGGATGTTGAATAACGTGACTGACCAAATTTACTGTCACATAGATTGTCAATCTAAAATAACCAAAAGGCTCAGGATCCAGTTAAGAGTTTATTATACTACTCAGCCATAAAAAAAGAATAAAATCACATCTTTTGCAACAACATGGATGGAACTGGAGGCCATTCATTTAAATGCAATAATTCAGAAACAGAAAGTCAGATACCCCACATTCTCACTTATAAGTGGGAGCTAAATACTGCGTCCACATGGCCATAGAGAGTGGAATGACAGTAGGGACTCAGAAGGGTATGGGGTAGGCAGAGTGGCTCACGCCTGTAATCCCAACACTCTGGGAGGCCAAGGTGGGTGGATCACTTGAGGCCAGGAGTTTGAGACCAACCGGACCAATGTGGCAAAACCCCAGGAGGCTGAGGCACGACAATCACTTGAACCCAGGAGGTAGAGGCTATAGTGAGCTGAGATGGCGCCACTGCACTCCAGCCTGGGCGACAGAGCAAGACTCTGTCTCAAAAACAAACAAACAAACAAAGGGTGGGAGGGTAGTGAGGATGAGAAATTACTTGGTGGGTACAATGTACATTATTTGGGTGATGGCTACACTAAAAGCTACTAGAAAAATATATCCATGTAACAAAACTGTACTTGTATCCCCCCAAAACTATAAAAATATTTATTTATTTATTTATATTTTTATAATTTTTTTTCGCCAGAGTCTCACTCTGTCATCCAGGCTGGAGTGCTGTGGTACGATCTTGGCTCACTGCAACCTCTGACTCCCTGGTTCAAGTGATTCTCCTGCCTTAGCTTCCCAAGTAGCTGGGATTACAGGCATGCGCCACCACACCCCGCTAACTTTTGTATTTTTAGTAGAGACTGGGTTTCACCATGTTGGCTAGGATGGTCTTGATCTCCTGACCTCGTGCTCGTGATCTGCCTGCCTTGGCCTCCTAAAGTGCTGGGAATATAAGCGTAAGCCACCACACCTGGCCTATACAAATAATTTTAAAAATAGCTTATTCAACTGCAAAGTGTGAGGGTGGGTGTGTGGGAAAACAGGAATACCAAAGAATGGTGCTGAGTGCTCCCCAGTGTGGAGAAAGGTGGGGGTCGCTTATATAGATAAAAACAGGAATGCTGAACAGAATTACATTTTCCATACAAGGCTAACAAACAGATACAAGATCTGATTGGTTATGATCGATTACACTCTAAGTGGTTGCTTAACATTTCATATAAAGAGGTAGATAAAGAGTCTCTATCTCCCACAAGATTTAATCTAGGTTTGAATAAAGCATAGAGAGTCTGGTTAATGTATAACATCTCAACACAAAGGTCAGGAAGCAGTGCTCATGCACCAGAGAAGAAAAACAGCCGTATTACATGACTCAGTTTCTGGGACTTAATTTTTTCCTCTTGACGTAATAAATCTGAAATTTTCTTTTCTTTTCTTTTCCTTTGAGATGGAGTTTCACTCTTGTTACCCAGGCTGGAGTGCAGTGGCCCAATCTCAGCTCACTGCAACCTCCGCCTCCTGGGTTCAGGCAATTCTCCTGCCTCAGCCTCCTGAGTAGCTGGGATTACAGGCACGCGCCACCATGCCCAGCTAATTTTTTTTTTTGTATTTTTAGTAGAGAAGGGGTTTCACCATGTTGACCAGGATGGTCTCAATCTCTTGACCTCATGATGCACCCGCCTCGGCCTCCCAAAGTGCTGGGATTACAGCCGTGAGCCACCGCGCCCGGCCCTTCTTTTCACAGATGTTCTGTTAGAGACCACTGTAGGGAGCACTGATGAAAGAAATATAAAAACAGAACCTCGAAGTAAATTGTATTGAATACTGATTGTTCACCAAAAGCAGGATGATGTATCACAATTGTAGCTTTAACTCCAGATTAAATAGAGCTGAAAATACATCATTGCTTTGTGATCACTTGTGGGCTATCTGAACACATGAATTTAAATAAATTTTTTGCTTAACAAATTAGCTAATTCTATACTTATGAACTGGTGTTTTCCTTTCGGTCTTAATTTCTTGTCTCCACAACATGATGTTTTTTTCAGAGACAAGGTCTCACTGTGCCGTCCAGGTTGGAGTGCGGTGATGCGATCATAGCTCACTGCAGCCTCAAACTCTTGGGTTCAAGTGATCCTCCTGCCTCAGCCACCTGAGTAGCTGAAACCACAGGCATGAGCCACCACACCCAGCTAATTTTTATAGAGATAAGATCTCACTATGTTGCCCAGGTTGGTTTCCAACTCCTGGGGTTAAGTGATCCTCCCATTCAGAGACCTGGCACAGTGGCTCAGGCCTGTAAATCCAGCACTTTGGAAGGCTGAGGCAGGAGAATTGTTTGATTTCAGGAGTTTGAGACCAGGCTGGCACTAGGCAACACAGCAAGATCCTGTGTCTATAAATTTTTTTATTTGAGACAGAATTTCCCTGTCACCCAGGCAGGAGTGCAGTGGCATGATCTTGAGTCACTGCAACCTCCACCTCCTGGATTCAAGCAATTCTCCCACCTCAGCCTTTCTAGTAACTGGGACTACAGTCATGCACCACCACGCCTGGCTAATTTT